CACATGCATAATTAGATTTCTTAAATAATCAAATATTAAGTTTGTATTATACAAAGATGGTACTTCAAGCTTGATTTTACTATATTAAGTCAGTCCCACTGGTGGCAGTTTATTATGAATATACTGTGCATGCTATGAAATGGTGAAGATTTCTACAGTCTATAAGAATTAAATGTATTTATTATGTTCTCTAATCGGTTCCTATGACTTGGACCTCAAATAGAGAAAAATCACAATTAAAGAAATCAATACCAATAAAAAACACATTAACTTTATTACAGGTATAGTTTAAAACCAGAAAACAAATAAGCTATGGCTAATGCATGGCAAAGATAAGAAATGATACCACCATGGTGTTTGATCAGTATTTATAGGCACTAACTTTGTGGAACTGATAATTTCATGTCTGAAGGTCAAGCAGTGAAATAAATTAATATGTGAGAAAAGTGAGATGGGGAAGAGTGGTAGCAAATGTCAGGGTAATACTGAATTTTCTACATTCATTTGAAAGGAAAAAGACCATTGTCAAATTACAACAACAACTAAAAGTTGTGGTTTAATTTATAAAATGTAAAAAAACCCCAAAGTTTATAGAAAACTCAAATATAAAATATTTAATAAACTGGCTTTCTGCTAACCCAAAATGTTTACTTATAATTGGAGTTAATTTCTTAACTCTCTATGCAGTATATCAAATTTAGAAGCCAAGTAATTTCTAGTATGCATTATGTTTATACCTAGAAAAATCTTTTTAGAATTTTTTATTTTGAAAAGTACATAACAGGTATGAGGCTTATCAAAATTTTTCAAAACTCAGTATATTTTTCTCATCTCCAGTAATCTAGAAACCTAATAAAACATAAATTGAATCAATTTTGAAACTATCTTTGTCAAGATAAAAATACCAAATATGTATCTAAAATTCATTTTGAAAATATAGTCTCAAATAACTCAAACCAAAAGTACTGACCACTGGTGTCCTCCAGAATACTGAGTTCTAAATGAACAAAAATTTCCATGCAGTTTTCTAGCTTTTAAGAGAAACATTTCTTTTTCATTAGAAAAGCTGCCTCTAATGAATACAGTAATAGAGAAATAGCACAATTCTTATTCAGTCCCTAAATTTTCATAGACAGAAATAGGAAATTTTATTTTTTCCCCATAGTTTTATGTATTGGTCTATGGGGCTTACAAATAGCAACACCCTTGGGCTGATACTATCATAGATTTTGCTTAAATTTTGAGGGAAGGAAAATAAAAAAATCCCACAGGTCAAAACTGAATCACATAAACTGACTGATTGTACTTGAGTAAATGAAGAGTAAAAAGAGGACAGGTGCAGTGGCTCACACCTATAATCCCAACACTTTGGGAGGCCTAGGCAGGAGGATCACTTGAGGCCAGGAGTTTAAGACCAGCCTGGGAGAGACCCCCATCTCTACAAAAAGATAAAAAATTAGCTGGGTGTGGTGACACGTGCCTGTAGTCCCAGCTATTCAGGAGGCTGAGGTGGAAAGATAAATTGAGCCCAAGACTTCAAGGCTGCAGTGAGCTATGATCGCACCACTACACTCCAGCCTGGGCAACAAAACAAGATCTCCTTTTAAAAAATGCAAAGTAAAAGGGAATTAAGGCAGCTGTAAAAGAAAATAAAACTTATCCACACAAAATAGTGCTAGTGTAGTATAATTCATTCCTTAAAAAGTTATGTGTAAGTCTAGGTCTAGATATAAAAGCCAAAAATCAAAACAAGTATTGCCGTTATGATGCAGCATCAGGTGCTTTTACTTTAGTCAATGAAAAATGGTCACAACTCAAATGAATGGGAATTTAATATGAATATATGCACCTCACCAGGGATGTTTATGTTTATTACCAGGGATGTCTTAGCAATTCCATATTCCTCACAAAGTCAGTATAATTGTTGTAAAAAAATCAACTGTGGTTCTGAATACCCATTCACAGTTGACCTCAACAACGTATCTGATATAGGAGACTGATTATCTGTGATAGGCAGAAGCATGTGGTGGTCCTCAGTCCCAAGTGGAAGAGCTAGTGGTAAAGTCACATCAGAAGGCTTCACATCCATAGTTTCTGATAAAGGACTTTTTTGTATGGAATCTTGTTCACTCACAGTATGATCCTCCACACTGGAATCTAGAGTTTTATCTGCACCTAAAATGGAAGGGGAAAAATTTATGTCTTAAAAACAAAACAAAATCCCTGAGGTAGATTTCCAGAACTATACTCCAACTTCCACACCTTTACTAAATCTGTTCCTTCTTGCCGATATGCCCTCTTCAATATCTACACAAATTCAATCTGGGCCTCAAGGCTAGATTCAAGTATTAACTCCACTATAAAAATGGACTTAATCATTCTAAGAATGAAACAGGGTGAGCTGTTTTTTATGTATTTTATCACACATTTGCCAATTTTCATCTCTCTTTTTGCTATTTAACATTCTACTCAGGTATGCCTTGAATCTTCAACTAGACTGTACATTCCTTGACAGTAAACGTCAAGTTATACTTCTCTAACTCCTTCAAAATACTGAATAGTGATACACCTTAAGAAATACTCTTAAGTTACTCATTGAATGTTTAATGTTCTTTCAATGTTTTAATGAGTAGTTCATACTATTCTGTGAGTTCAATTTCAGAAGTATGGCACTTTCATATATTTTTAGAGGTAAGAAATTCTGCTCTACTCAAGGAAGCAATTGTCATACTGATTAAAGATATACTTTTGCCTTCAAATTTTCCACTAGCTTTAACATGCCTGTTAGTCCAAAGATTTCAGTTTCACCATCTTCGTTAAATACAGACAAAACTGTTTATTTGCTTTCATAAAATTATAATTCTCTGTATTCTTCCCAGACTATTCTTCAGTTCAACCAGCCAAGAATACAGCCTGTGTTTTCTTGTCCCAGTGACTCTTCACAATGTTCTCTGCCTGGAATAAACCCTCCATTCCCCATCTCCATACTTTGAACTCTTCTCTACCCACCCTTGAAGTGCCCTAAAATTAAGCCTTTTCTAATAATCACCAAAGAAATATTTAATATCTTCTTTTTAGCACTTTTGCATTTATTAAGGCCTACATTTTCCCTTGTAATTATTTATTTAGATTTCTGGTCTCACACAAGCTTTTTGAGGACCAAGACTATGTATGCCTTGTTCAACTTCATATTCCCCATAGTTATATGTACTTTATAGGAACTTAATAAATAGTTGCTGAATTAATGACTCACTGCAGTTTTGAGTTTCTAACTTAATATCTACGATGTTTATGTTTATCATAAGAAACTTACTATTATCTTTATATACCAAAGAAGCCTAGTGTCATTTCTAATCATCACACAATAAAATGGTAAGCACAGTGAAATTTTTTCAAGGATTTCTTTTAAGCAATGGACCTAAAACTTTGTAGTCTGGCTTTCCATTTTTATATATTATAACAATGTGGGGCTACCCATTTCCTTATTTTCTTATACACTTCTGACTAGTGTTCATGATAACCCTTTTCTTCATAATAACTGCAGTAAACCCTGGGTTACCCAGACTCTGGTATGGGGGACAGTGCTACATAGCTTGCTTCTATATTCCTTCATTCTTGAAATTGTTCATGAGTCAGGTTTTTAAAGAAAAATATTTCAAGGATTTTTTATTAGAAGCTCAATATGAAAAGAAATCCTGGGTGAACTTTTGTACAAATTCTAAAGCCACTTTCCTCATATTTATATATCTAGTTTTTAAATAGACATTTAATTTAAACTGTTTAAATATACATCTTAACATTTTAAGGAACAGCATCAATGTGAGAGCACCAAATTTAAAAAAAAAAAAAAAACAACAAGCATTTACCAAAAAAAAAAAAAAAACAACAAGCATTTACCAGAATGGACTTTTGTTTTGTGCTTCTTTAAATTTTTAATATCTGTATAAGAATTTCCACATAATTCGCAGATAAATGGTCTTTCTCCTGAAAAACAATTTTAAAAGTTTAAAACTTCAATATTTAAAAGCTGTTAGCTAAGACAC